AGATCACAAGTTGGAAAATTCTTCCATATATTAAGTGGAAATGTGCCACCATGTAACTAGTTACTGCTCCTAACTCGACTCTATGGAATATAGCAGTCACTTTTCTAATTTAATATTCTGAAAGGAACAAAATTCATTTTAGATTTGTTTTCATTTACTCAACCCTAACCCATATTCCTAGATGAAATCATAGGGTCCCTATGAGTTTTAAAGATAAGATTAGGTATAATTGTGTAAGGAGGAGGATTATAAAGGACTAAAGGCCTGGTGCCCGGCATTCGTGCACAGCGGGGGGATGTCCGACTGATGGCTTAAGCCGTCCGCGGACATCCTTAGTGCGGCCGTGGAGGCGGGCTGCTGTGCTCACCAGCCATCAGCCTGGCTTGTGGCTGAGTGGCACCCCGCTGTGGCAGCTCACCGACCACCAGGGGGCAGCTCCTGCATTGGGCATCTGCCCCCTGGTGTTTAGTGTGCATCATAGCACCTAGTCATTCCACCATTTGGTCGATTTGCATATTACCCTTTTATTATATAGGATTTATTATATAGAATTTTCTGCTTTGAATAAGAACATGAAACAAATTTTCCCACAATTCCACAATCAATGTGAGTATTAATACACATGTAGATCCAATGCTATCTAAAACCTATCCAAGCTGGTAGCCCATAATAACTTCCTTTTACTTTGCATTTTTAACAATATGCTGCTGCTGCTATTTCTTAACTTTTAAATTTTAGATATTAGCATTGGATTCTTAGTTGGAGATGACAAATGATCTTTTTTTAGCACCCACAAACACTTCCCATCCCTTTACAATATAGACATAGTACCAATTTTAGCTTAAAAAGTTTAGTACTTCCATTTTTATGACTATATAAATATTATTCACAGCCAAGCCACAAGGTATATTATTATAACATTTTTTTTCTTATACAATCTTTTGTTTTTCTTAAAATAATTATCTCTTTCTTGGTTTGCTTGGAGATTCTAAGAATCACTACTTGTGTTTTTTTTTTTTTTTTTTTTTTTTTTTTTTGGGTGGCGGGGGGGGGGGGGGTGGAGAGGGGCAGAGGTGAGGGGTCATGGGTAATCCTTACCCCAGGATATTTTTCCAATGCTTTTTTTAGAGAGAGTGAAGAGAGAGGGAAAGACAGAGAGAAACATCAATGCGTGAGAAACACATTGATTGGTTGCCTTCTGCATGAGCCCCGACCAGGGCCCAGGCCAGAGAGGAGCCTGCAACCAAGGTACAGGCCCTTGACCAGAACTGAACCTGGGACCCTTCAGCCAGCTCTATCCACTGAGCCAAACCAGCCAGGGCAATCACTACTTTTTAAATTGAAGTATTAATCTCTAATTCTCCAACTAAACATAATTTCACACAACAGTTTGATTAGTTCTGCTTTTTTTGTTTTTGTTTTGTTTGTTTATTTTTCTTGCAGACATTCCTTATGGAGCTTACTGTCCTGCTGCTCCAGTCTGAATTGGAGCTTTCTAGCTCTCCTGCACAAATGACTGTCCTGGGACTCCTTCATTAGCAGCCTAAGAATTCTTTCCCTTTCTCCTGTTCTGGATTCCTTGTTTCTTTATTCCTTGTTTCCTTATTCCATAAGATTCATTCTCATTTCTTATTTTTCTTTTGTTTTCTTTTTAGAGAGAGGAAGGAAGAGGGAGGGAGGGAAACATTCATCACCTGCATCCAGCGCCCCCTACACTGGGGATGGAGCCTGCAACCACGCATGTGCCCCAACCGGAAGCTGAGCCAGCAGCCTCCTGGGCACAGGAGGACGCTCAGCCAGCTGAGTGCGTTGGCCAGGGTTCCTTCTCATTTCTTGATGAAACTCATCCAGTAGTTTTATGAGAAAAGCTAGCTATATGGGAGTTAAAATATAAGCTCTTGCCCATTTAAAAATCTATATTCTACTTCTATAGTTGACTGATGGTCTGATTTGGTACAGAGTTCTGAAAAACATTGCTCTATTGTGTTTAGCTTCTATTGTTGCTGTTGAGAAGACTTATGACATTCTAGTTCCTCTGTTCTCTGTTTCTGGAAGTTGATTGTTGTGTCTTGGCTCCTAGTTATCCTCTTAGAGATTTCTCTCAAATATCTGGTGATCCTTGAATATATCCATTCCTACTTAGAATGAGATTACAAAAAAAGCCGATTATCTGAATGGATTGAAGTTGTTGACATTGAGTTTCGTTGTAGAATAAACAGGTTGGGATCTGGTCTTTCACTGTAGAACTCCTAAATGTCACACATTTGTAGCAACTTTTTCTGGGGCTACTTTGGTTCTCCAGAAAATATTCCAGGCTTGTGCCTCAGGTACCCATTTGGCATTTGGCAGCAAACATTCTGAGAGCACCATTTTTGCTCCCAGTTTGGAAGCATCTCCAAGAGGCCTGTAAGGATGATACCATGTTGTGAGGGGTGGCTTAGGTGAAGCTGAATCCCCAAAAATAGAATGTGAGTTCCCTGACACACACTGTTAAAATATTCAGTGAAGAGGAGGAGGTAAGAGATCAACTGAAGGACTTGTATGCATGCATATAAGCTTAACCAATGGATGCAAAACTCTGGGGAGGGAGAACATATCTGGGAGTGGGGAGAGGGGGCCATGGTAAGATATGTACACATATAATATCTTAATAAAAAAATGAAAAAAAAAATTCAGTGGAGAACCTGGAAATGCCATATTGGCTAACATCTTCCTTATTTTCTAGCAGCTGCACACTGCATCCTCCATGTATATGAGGACAGATCACTGAGCCAGATACTCATATCAGGATTCAGTAACCTTTGACCAAGGTAGCTTCCAAACTTTAGCTCTCAGGCTTCCGGAACCCAGGTCAACCATTCTCTCCCTTGCCAAAGCACCTTCCAGCAGGAGGAAGGGCCTGTGACCAGCTTGAAGACACTCCTCAGCCCCTCACCCAGGCTGGCCATGCCCCTCCAGCGGGACCCTCACACCATGGGATCATGGCTGGCCTGCAAACCACCACAGGCCCCTTGCCCAGGCCACCCCATGCCCCACCCTGATCCGGGACACCCTTTAGAGCAAACTAGCCAGCCTCCCCCCATGCACCAGGCCTCTATCTATGCTAATAAAAGGGAAATATGCTAATTAGACTGGGAGACCTTACGGACGTTCTTCTGGACAAAGCCATGATGGCGGGGCCAAGGTAGAGTGGTTAGAGACCGTTGGGTGTGATCAGGACAGCAGGAGCAAGGGCAGTTTGGAGTGAGCAGGCTGGCAGGGGAGGCAGTTGGGGGCGAGCAGGCCAGCAGGCAGAGTAGTTAGGGGCCATCAGGTAGACAGGCAGGTGAGCAGTTAGGAGCCAGCAGTCCTGGATTGCGAGAGGGATGTCCAGGTGCCGGTTGAGGCCCGATCCCTGTAAACTGGCAGTGGGACATCCTTTGAGGGGTCCCAGATTGGAGAGGGTGCAGGCCGGGCTGAGAGACACCCCCACCCCCTGTACACAAATTTCGTGCACCGGGCCTCTAGTATTATATGCTTCTGCTCATATGAAAGCCCAGTATAGGAACTTCTAAAGTGACAGAGATAGATTAGTGATTGATTAGTTGGGAGTGAGGAGAGGCAGGGTCAGATAAGGTGGGGAGGATGAGCTATGATAGCTAAAACATCAACATGATGAAAATGTTGCAGAATTGGCTGTGGGGATGGGCGCACATATTCAAACATACTAAAGCTGAGAAGTTGGGTGTAGTCAGGGTCTGTTTAGTTTGTGGAGCTAGAAGACCTCCACGGAAGATGAGTGGCAGTTAAAGGGGAGCCGGTAGTGTATCAGAAGGTGCACTTGACTTGCTTCCTCGCCTGTCAGAGATCTGGATTTGAAGGGCAGTATTTACAGGGATTGAGAGCAAAGATTTTGGAGTATGACTTGCCTGATTTCAGCTATTCACTAGCCTTTTAATCTTGGACATATTATTTATTCTCTGAGCTTCAGATTACATAAAATGGGGATGATAATTATATACCTACCTAATTCAACTGCTGTGGGGAATATGTATACGCACACACATCTTATTTAGAACAATGCCTGCTGCATAGTAAGCTTACTGTTCTAAAATTGAAGTCCTTTTCAGATCTTTTATGTTATTACATGGTCAATTTCTGCCAGCCTGGCATTCCAAGGCAGAGATCTGAACCAGAGATGTAGGCTATCGTTTCCTGCCTAAAGTGTTCCTGAACACATGGTGTGAGATACCCACGGAGAAAGTGGGAAGGACATATGAATAGCAAGGACACGTGTTGAGGAAAATTATATTTGGGAACAAGAGGCAGGAGTATAGCAGGGCCAGTAAAGGAACATTCAGAGACAGAGATGGAAAAGTAGGAGATTGTCATGAAAGCCAAGTGAAACAGAAAAATGCTCAAGGGAAGGTCGCCTTTGAGAGGAGAGGCCGCTTGAGCTGAGTGTGAAGGTTTGTGGGACACAGCCGATAGGGAGAAGTTCAAGATGAAAGCAAAGGAAATTAATTGATGATTCAAGAAGAAGGAAGCTAATTTCTCTGAGTTGGAATAAAAGAAGGGAAAGCTCTATTTTGATACAATCAAACTGGAGTTGGGGAAGCTCATGTTGGATACCTTCAGTTTCTCCCCCATAAACTAGGAAGCAAAGCCTTCTGGAAAGAGAGGAAGGAACCATGTTTTTAAGCAAGCTTTAAATATTTTCCCTAATTCTGCCTTTTGTATGAATGAAAAACAAATGATCCATGTCATTTATAATGGGTAATATTTACTGAGCCGTTAATATCTTGCTAAGAGCTTATTGCAAACTTAAAACACCCCTATCAGGCAAATGGTATCAGTATCATATCTACATGTCATAGGAGGTATTACATGAGCAGAAAGCACTGGAAATTGCTCAAGGTTATCTAGCTAATAAGAGGTATAACCAAGACTTTTATGAAATACATCATTGGCCTATAACGTAGGTATGTGGAAGTAATCTTTGCTTTTATATTTTGTAACAGGTGACAACCAAAGCCAAACAGCTGAAGGACTCCGTCACCTGCTCCCCAGGTGAGTTAGCACCGACTTCCCCCATTAATCTGAAGCACTTTCTTTAAAATAAGCCCTTTTTACAGCATCTTTAAATCCGATGGTGTCATAGCTTAGACCAATGAACTCTATTGGCCAAACCTCTAAAAGGTGTCAACTTAGCCCTGGCTGGTTTGGCTCAGTGGGCGGAACATCGGCCTGCATTCTGAAGGGCCCCGGGTTTGATGCTTGTCAAGGGCACATGCCGGGGCTGCAGGCTTGATCCCCAGTGCAAGCACGCAGGAGGCAGCTGGTCAATGATTCTCTCTCATCATTAATATTCCTCTCTCTTTCTCTCTGAAATCAATTAAAATATATTTTAAAAAATAAAAGGCATCAAATTATAGAAACCAACTAGCCAATTCAGCCCTGAACATATAGTGGGTGCTAAGATGTGTGTGGTAAGTTGAAAGAATTACAAAAAGCCTTGTCCTCAGTTCGGGGTCAGGGATGCAGTGTCCCTGCATCGCCCCACCCCACACACCACACGCTGCCCACCGAGGAGACAACACACAGTTTTCCCAAGAATCTATGTCTGCAAATGTTTCCTCCAAGACTAACTGGAATTTTGTTATTGTCTCTGTACTGTTTGCCTAGAACCAGGAAGTAAGAAAATGCCTCCTAAACCTTCCAACTTACCCTAAGTGCAGGTCGCAGGGAGAGTAGTGCAGGTGAGCAAACCCGGGCGCAGAGGTCGCCCCAGGAGGGGGCAGCGTGGGGTCCGCAGGCGGTAGGAAGGGCATTTCCAGATTCCATTTCTGCCACTGAGGTTACTGTCTGGGCACGGAGGCAGACACAGGCGGAGAGGTGTATGTGAAAGAAGCCGGCCTCCACCACATTCTCCAGAAATGAACAGGCAAGTGGGCAGGCAGAGGGTCCTGCAGAGCATTGGGGGGGGAAGGAGAGAGTGCAGTTGGATATTTCAGGGCATCTCTGAGGTGACACTGGTGGCTGGAGGCAGAGCAGTTTGCCCACTTCCTACGGGCGCTGGAATGCCCAGCTCAGCGCTGAGAGCAGATCCCCAGGTGCGTGGTCACCTCAGCTGGGGCCCGGCGGGGGCTCGGACAGGCCCGCGTCACTGCTGCTGGAGTGAAGGACCGCCCTGGAGAGGGAGGAGCCGCCCAACAGCGGCAGCGGGTCTTCTCGGGAGGCCGGGCCTCCCATCAGCGGGTCCGGGTCCACCCGCTGTTCCCCTCCCCCCTCCGCGGCCTCCTGGGCTGACCTTCCTCCTCGGGAAAATCAGGATGCCGATACCTGCCCCCTAGAGCCGTGGTCAGCAAAGTGCGGCTCTCGAGCCACATGCGGCTCTTTGGCCCCTCGAGAGTGGCTCTTCCACAAAATACCACGGCCTGGGCGAGTCTATTTTGAAGGAGTGGCGTTAGAAGAAGTTTAAAAAATTCGGCTCTCAAAAGAAATTTCAGTCACTCTACTGTTGATATTTGGCTCTGCTGACTGATGAGTTTGCCGACCCCCGTCCTAGAGCAAAGTGAACGTGAGTGAGAGGGCGTGTGAGAGGCCTGGGACAGCCCTCCCGGCCCTGACCTGACCTGACCTTTCCCACAGGGACCGTGCGGCTCTCCGAGCTCAAGTCACCGGCGCCGCAGCCCAGGCCGGGCAAGGCGGCCGCGGCCCCGCCCGACCGCCTCCTCACGGCCCCGGAGGCCCCGCAGCCCGGGCCGCGCAGCGCCGAGGGGCCGGAGCCCGCGGAGGGCCAGCCCCGCAGACGCAGGCCCGCCCGGCCGCCCGAGGCGGCGAGGCCGGAGCCGGAGGAGAAGCCGCGCGGGAAGAGGCAGAAGGACTTCGATGTATCGGAGCACAACGCGTCCAGCGACGAGGAGGGCCAGCGGGGGGAGAGGAGCCGCTCTGCCGAGGAGCCGTGGACTCAGAACCAGCAGAAACTTCTGGAGTTAGCGTTACAGCAGTACCCGAGGGGCTCCTCCGACCGCTGGGACAAAATAGCCAAATGTGTCCCGTCTAAGAGTAAGGTGGGTGAGGCGGCACGGAGGCGGCCAGGCCGGGGGCTGTGCTGGCAGCTGGGTCCCCGCTCTCCCCGGGGCCTGGGCACCAGCCGGTGCGGGAGCCTGGTCCAAGTTGGGTCATTGCACAGACCAGGCAGTTTTTCTCAGGAAAGGCCAGGCTTGGAACACAGTCCCCCTCGGCCACCCTGCCAGCCCCGGGGCGTTCGCTCTCCCTGGCGGCAGCTCCCTCTCAGCAGCGCGAGGAGGCTTCTCAAATCACGGCCCCGGGCTCCAGGCCGAGCCTTTAGCCGGGGGATGTGTGGCCCCCGCTCTGCACATGGCCCTGGACCCTGGGCACGTTTGTATGTGGGGTCAGTGAGAGAATGACGTTTGGGGTTCAGCTTGCCCTCTGTAGCCTTGGCTTCTATCACAGACTCTCCTCCCCATTAGTATCGGCTGCAGCACGTCTGCAGGCAGTGTGTGCTCAGGTGAAAGCTCGGCGGCGGGGACGGTGTCCTGGGGGGCCAGCCCCGCGGCCCGTGCCCTCTGCTCGCCCGGCCTTCTCTCCGGCGTCTCCTCCTCGGCCTCCGGCCTCTCTCCTGGCGGCCATGCTCTTCTGTCTGAGGCGCCAGGACTCAGAAATCAAAGGAACCCATCTCCCGCCTTCTGTGCCTTTCCTCAGTAGCCTCTGGGCACATTGATGTTCATTTACATGCGTATTTTTTTAATTGAAATTCTATGTTGGACAATCTAGCCTGTGGCCATGAATGTCCCCGTGTGTGCTGGTCTAGTTATCTATCACCTACTTTAAATGACGAGTCAAGCTTTCCCAGGGAGAAAAATAAAGCCATTATCAGTCTATCTATCTGAGAGACACAGACTCCCCCGCCTCGCCAACTGCTTTTGCCAGAAGTGATTATTTTCCCTGAGTTTCTCCAGCATCTGTCAGGACACAGGCCTGTGCATACCTGATGAACTGACATTGGTGTAAAAGGAAGGAGATTCCTTGGGACTCAGAACCTCACTGCCCTGGGGGTTGGACACCGTCCTGTCTCACCAGAACAGCAGAAGCCCCAGCCTCTGCCCAGGGAGGCAGCGCCGCTGTGCGGGCTCCGGGAGGGGGGGCGCCTGTGGGGCAGCCTGTGGGGGAGGCAGGCCCGCGGAGAGCCCTGGATGCCTGGCCTCACGGGTGGTGGTTTGTCTGCAGTCGTGTTGTGATGAAATAGTGAAATGTTAAACACGACAGAGTTTGCAAAGTGAAAATCACGGTCGCAATGACGGTAGCCGCGCCGACGGCGGCCACTCGCCCCTCGCCTGGCGACTGGCACCGCCCGGAGCGGCCCCTCGCCCCTGGCTCGCTCACCTTCCCGCGGTGCCGGGCAGCCCCGCGCAGAGCGAATGGGCCTGAGGCTGTCATTGTCACCGGGCACAGCCGACACGCAGGCTTACCCAGGAAGTAAGCCTTTGTTTTACTCTCTGCTGTGGAAGTCATTGCCTCACCTCTCCTTTTCTTTCTACAGGAAGACTGTATCGCTAGATACAAGTTGCTGGTTGAACTGATCCAAAAGAAAAAACAAGCTAAAAGTTGAATATTCTGGAAGATGATGTTCACCTTCGTTTTCCAAAATGAGTATTTTAAAACTCTTATGCAGAAATTTGCATTTTGTACCTCAACATTCTATGACTCATGTGCCTTAATAAAAAAAATAACAAGTTTAAAATAAATCTTGTGTTCTGCTGTTTAAACAAATACTGAATTAAAGGAGAAAAAGAATTGGGGTATTTTACTGCTTATTCTCTCCTTACTACCAACTTTACTATAATGGGGAACAGACTGAAGAGTGCCTTCCAGCAATCAGACAAATGTATGATTTTGAAGGAACAAATGAATAAACCAGCAATTTTCAACATTTTTCATCTCATAGCACATAAACATTACTAAAATAATGCAGCACACGAAATATATAATATTTGCTGATCTGACAAAGAAAGAAAAGGTATTGTGTTGGCTGTTGATATTTTTTACTTGACCGTCTAAAGGAAAAGAGGTCAGTGCCCCTGACTAAATAGCCAGGTGTTGCCCTCGCCGGTTTGGCTCAGTGGGTAGAGCATCAGCCTGCAGACTGAAGGGTCCCTGGTTCAATTCCAGTCAAGGACACAGGCCTGGGATAGGCTTGATCCCTAGCAAGGGGCGTGCAGGAGGCAGCCTATCAATATTCTCTCTCATCATTGATGTTTCTCTCTCTCCCTCTCCCTTCTTCTCTGTGAAGAATCAATAAAATGTTGTGTTTTTTTTTAAACAAAACAGCTCCCGTCATAGGGCTTTTTCTTGATATGTGCCAATCCCCACCCCAAAACAAGTCCCCTGCTGCCCCTTTGAAAGAGAACTGATCCCTCTGCCATACCAGCTGTTTCCTCTGCTGCGCCTATCGGGACTGTGTAGTCCCTGTTTTTCCTAATGTTTAGATGAGCGGTTTAAACCGTGCTGGCCTATACACATGGGGTGGCCGGGCGTGCGGACAGCTCGCAGCCTGGTCACCTCGGGGTCCTGCATCCCCGGCCTGCGAGGACGGACAGCTGAGAGATGCAGCATTCTTTATTTGCTTTTGGTCTAGAAAGCCCCAGAGATGGAAGCATGTGCTGATCCTGACCTCCAGCTCTTCCTGAGGCCCCACCGCACCAAAGGGAAACTGAGGCACGGAGACCCTCGCCCTGGGATCTCCTGCAACTGGCTCTTCCCGCCCAGGACGCCTGGGTCCCCTGAAGAGGGCGGGCCTGCGGGCTCCGGGCTGCAGGGGGCTGGGGAGGCGGCTCCTCGTTTGCTGGAAGCAGCCTCGGATGGTCCGCCTGCTTTTTGAAGTCCTTCCCCCCGCGTGGTCCCTGCTGTGTAGACACGGAGCTGAGGAAGGGCGGCGGCTGGGCTCCCAGGTCTGGGGGCGGGCCCCCTCCCGCGCCCCTCCCTCTGGGGCCCAGGGCTGGGGGCGGGGGGCGGCCTCCTGTAGCCTCAACGCCGCTCCCCCTGCTGGAGCCGCGCGTCCCGCCGCCTGGCCCCGCTCCTCTGAGTCACTGTGGCCTCCAGCCTCTGGCCTCAGGCCCGGGAACCGAACCAGCCCCTGTGAGAGCCGCTGCGGTGCTTTTCTCCGCGTCTGGAGGAGGAAGAACGGCTTCTCTAGGACAGAAAAGGGCACCGCGCAGCGGTCCCACTGCCCGGGGAGCAGAGGCCGCGCGGAGCAGGGACCAGGTCCCGGCCAGGCCCGAGGGGCGCAGGGAAGGCCTGGCGGCTCTGTGCCCCCTCAGAGGCTGGGGATGGGGGGGAGGGAGGGAGGGAGGAGGAGAGAGAGAGAGAGAGAGGGAGAGAGAGCGAGAGCGCGCGCACGCCAGCCGGGCAGGAGTGGGTCTGGGCCAGCAGCGCCTGGGCTCTCACCGGAGTTGAGCTCCATGAAGCCCGCCTTTGGTTCGAACACGCTAAAAAGAAGCCCTGGTTTCCACAAAATGAAACTGAGCAAGAGCTGGGGCAATGAGGGAACTTGTAACTCTAGCGTGTCCGTCCTAAGTTGCAGATGTTTTCCCCTATCACTACTCAAAGAAACATTTTGTAAATTTACTGTAAAATACCAAATTGTTTATCCCAAGTTATCTTGGTTCCAATCTGTGTCACAAAGGAAGAGCCACATAAAGAGCTGGCTCTGGATCTGTGGCTGCAATGCATCCCCCTTTTATTCGTTTTTCTTTTTTAAGTATTTTATTGATTTTTTTACAGAGAGGAAGGGAGAGGGACAGAGAGAAACATTGATGAGAAACATCGACCAGCTGCCTCTTGCACACCCCCTACTGGGGATGTGCCCGCAACCAAGGTACATGCCCTTGCCCGGAATCGAACCCGGGATCTTTCAGTCCGCAGGCTGTGCTCTATCCACTGAGCCGAACCATCAGGGCCACATCCCCCTTTTAGAGGCTTTAGAAATCCTATCAGAAATCTCCCCTTTGGCTGAAAGGAGAGCTGTTGTTCTGTTAAAATGGAAAAATTCCACGTGGACATTTTTGTTTGGGGCGTTCAGACCATAACAGAAAGAAGGGGTCATGCCGGGGGTCAGAGGCAGTCGGGGCCTGGCTGCAATTGGGATAAGGAGCCCACACTCACTTTAATCCTGACACTGGTCAGCCCTAAATCCTCCACCTGCCTGCTCCCACCCCCTGAGGCCCAGACACCGGCTCCGGTTTCCTGAGCCGGACACACAGGAACAAAGCCTGAGGGCGAGGGCGCACCTGAGCCTGTGGCCTCTCTCTCCTCCTCCTCCTTCTCTCTCTCCTTCTCTCTCTCCCTCCCTCAGTCTTGTGTTGGACATTGATTCCCAAAGTCAAATGGAAAACAGCTGCAGTCATGGAGGGAAAAGGCTATCCTGATGGAGGGACTAAATGCTGGTCAGAAGTCAGAAGAAATTAAAATCTCTGAGAGCCCAGCTGGTGTGGCTCCGAGGTTGTGTGCCGACCTAGGAACCAGGAGGTCACAGTTCGATTCCTGGTCAGGGCACATGCTCAGGTTGCAGGCTGGATCTCCAGTAGGGGGCGTGCAGGAGGTAGTCGTTCAATGATTCTCTCTGACCACTGATGTTTCTTTCTCCCGCTTCCTTCCTCTCTGAAAAATTAAACATATTTTTAAAAACAACAACAAAAACCTTCTGAGAACGGGAGCAGTGGGAACTGGGAGGGCTGTGGCCAGCGTTGGGCTCGCAGTCCCGCTGCTGTGAAGACTGAGGTCAGCAGAGCCGCAGTCGACCCACAGTAAAACCCAAGACTATGCATTTGTGTCTGCGATTAAGACGTCAAAGTCTCCCCCTGCCAGCAAGGCTGTCAGTGAGCGTCTACCTATGAACCAGAAAGGCAGCCGATCAAGGATTCTCTCTCCCCATTGATGTTTCTATCTCTTCCTCTTCCTTCCTCTCTCTGAAATCAATTTTTTAAAATACCCACGTTCCTCCCTGGTCTCAGCAACAGGCCACCTGACTCAGCTCTGGGATGGGAGTCTTCCCCGCAGCCAGGCTGTTCCTGGGGCAGCCACACAGCCGGCAGGAACTTCCCTCCGAAGCTCCCCGCCGGAGGCTCCGCCAAAAGCCGGAGGAGAAGGGGATTCCCAAAGGGCAGAGGGCCCAGGGGGTGAAGGAAAGCAGCCTGAGGCCGAGGGGAGCCCCAGGTGAGCAGCAGGTGGCCGTGGCCCATCCCTCTCCCCTGGCGACACGCTGGGCTCCTGGAGCTCCAGCAGCTGCTGCCTGCGCCCCGCCCTGGCCCTGGGCGAAGCGAACCGCACAGAATCGGACTCTCCGTGCCAGCGCCGCCCGGGCCAAGAGTTTGCGAGAATCCGGACGGGAGCAGCTCAGCTGCACGCACACCTGTCTGTCCTCGCGGTGGGCGGAGATCAGGAGAAGCAGAAAGACCGCTGGGCAGGCACCCGGCGCTGCCAAAAACACGGCCTCCTAATTAATCCGTCTGCTTGTGGCGCGAGCCAAGCGGGGAACACCAGATGCATCCATCAGAGTCTGAGAGAAACCAAATTAACAGGATCAGCAAAAAAAGGGAATGTCTTGCTTTAATGTTAAGCTTCAAACGACACCAGCACCATCACGGCGCTGAGAACTGACAGCCCCCGGTCATTCCCGTCGTCACTGGTTCCACAGGGCTTCCCAGTGTCAGGGACATCCTGCTGGTCATCCACCCCCTCTGCCCCTCCTGCCACCCAACTGCCCCCACGTCACCCAGTGCCCTCCCGCCGCTGCTCTCCGCCCTGGTGGCTCCCCGGCCTCGTGCTCTGTGGGACCATCCATGTGGGGGGGTGGGGGAGGTGGGGGAAGTGGGGAGGTGGGGGAAGGGGGAGGTGGGGAGGTGGGGAGGTGGGGGAAGTGGGGGAGTGGGGGAGGTGGGGTGGGGGAGGTGGGGGTGGGAGAGGTGGGGGGTGGGGGAGGTGGGGAAGGTGGGGGAGGTGGGGGGTGGGGGAGGTGAGGAAGGTGGGGAGGTGGGGGAGGTGGGGGAGTGGGGAGGGGGAGGTGGGGGAGGGGGGAGGTAGGGGGAGGTGGGGGAGGTGGGGGAGTGGGGAGGGGGAGGTGGGGGAGGGGGGAGGTAGGGGGAGGTGGGGGAGGGGGAGGGGGGAGATGGGGAGGGGAGGGGGAGGGGGGACGTGGGGGACGTGGGGGAGGTGGGGGAGGGGGAGGGGGAGATGGGGGAGGGGGAGGGGGAGGGGAGGGGGAGGGGAGGGGGGAGGGGGGAGGTGGAAAGGTGGGGGAGGTGGGGGAGGTGGAGGAGGTGGGGAGGTGGGGGAGGGGGGAGGGGGGAGGTGAGGGAGTGGGGGAGAGGGGGAGGGAGGAGGGGGGCAGGGGGGAGCGGGGGAGGTCCTCAGGCCCCGCACACGGGCTTCCCCTCCGTCAGCCTCCCCCGCTTGCCTCCGCACACCCTGGGACTTCCCCTGCCCCGGGCTTTGCCCTTTTCCTGGGCCTCCCCACTCAGCAGCCACTGCCCCAAGGACTGAACCCCAACCCTCCACGTGGC